GTGTCAAAACTCAAGTCTCTGATGCCTACTTTGAAGATAATGATCAGGTTACCTTGATGCTTTTCATTTAATGAAGTGATCATAATCAATTCATTAAATCCATCTCCATACAACTTAAGGATTTCATTTTGATCATGGATTCTTTAACGTTGCTTTAAATTAACAAGAGGAGCTAAAGTTTTGGGGTTATTGGATCATTTAGGAAACTTTTAGAGAAAAAACAAGCAGGAAATTTGCTGAAAATATATGTAACAGAATAGTCACCTGATGACGAATAGTTACTCAAATGTGAATAGCCTCGAAGCTACACTAATAGCAACAAACATTCAAACAAAAATGAACTGTGTCCGTAGGTTGAAAGTGAGATATAATATCTCATCATACAAATGCTTTTATTAATTATCTTTTAAATCAAACTTAAAAACTGATCAATATTTTGTCAAATTTTATAAAGTTTAATCTGTGAAGATTCTTAGAACATTTTCGGGAATAATGTTTGCAACTTCTTCAACATTATGAATTTCACTTCATCTGCTCATCTTAATTTGCTAACCTTCGTGCATTTTGGACTTAACTATGGACCTTTCATCATGGGGAAACTAAACTAAGTTCAATTGCTACTATTTAAACAACACACCGTCTTCAATTCACTCTTCGTTCTCAGTCACACTTCTGAAAGCCTGTACTTTACCACCAATGTTTTGGAATTTGGACAGCATGCCGAGCTGCTTGTGATTTTAGCTGATTAGTAATTACCAAAGATGCGTTGCTCGGAGTACTCAAATGTGGTTTAGGGCGGAAGCGTGACTGAGACCACTTGACCAGAGTGTGTTTATGAGGATCAGTGAGGGCAGTGTTAATGTCTAACAAGTACAGTACCATTTATTTTTTGGATTTATCTATCTCTATACCTCAGTTCCCCCCAGTGTGGTAGCGATGATTTTAAAACGTGACCAAACGCAAGTTTCGACTCCATGATCGTGCTACTCACAGACACTGCACATCAAACAGCATCTAGTCGTCTTTTCCTACGTTGAGGAGTCATTCGGTATGTGAAAGTGACTTTTAAAATATATGGTGGAAAGTTCGTCTTCTATTTTTTTACCTTTGCCAACGAGCTTACAATATTCTCTATGCTTAGCAGTCGTTCAAGTTTTCTGGCAACCTCAAAGTTATTTCAGAGCTAATCATTTTAGGTAGGTTACCGCATATCATAGAAGTTTTGTCACGGTCGTTATTTATCAGGGATTACATTTTGGTTGCAGGGATGGTGCCGCTCGATTGTTCATTTATGACTCAACATGAATGTGGCTTCCTTCGATACATACGACTTTTTGTCGGTCGATGCTGAATTTAACTTTCATTCCACTCTTAACAATAGTATATTATTTACGTTAGCGATGATCAGAACATCCATATTTTTCTGCTTAGGGTACTCTGAATCGGTAGAAAAACGGTCGACACGAGAGCCAATAGTTTAGTTCACACCCCGACGCTTATATTCATACTAGATCAACAAAATTATTCCGTTATCTGCCTGATGGTACCTCACACACGTGGATGTCAAAGCTAGTGTAATTTATGCTTTGTCACGACATGATAATTCCTACATTCAATGTGTCAGTAAAGCTTCCTCACCAGTTTTTATCTTTTCCATTCAAAGTTTCAGGGTTCTCTAGGATAGGTCGTTATGAAGATCATTGTCTTTTACTGAATGCCGGGATAATTTAGCAGAATCAAGTTATTGGGAATCGTTCAAGGACGTCATGTTAAACAAGATACCTACGACAACATAGCTGTTCAAGGAAAATGTTTTTCAGCGAATTTTAAGTTCTGACCAGTTGTCAAGAATCTCGCAGGGAGTATGTAAAATTATGGTACGGATCAGTGTTGACTGAACTTATCTCCGCTACCAAAATAATAGGCCCAATACCGAAACCATTGATTTGTCATATCATCGTATATACTAAATCGGCAGATTGGATGCGACTAGACGACTCGGACTTCGCAGATGACCTGGTCCTTCTATTCCGTACACACAAACAAATGCAGGTGAAGACAACAAGTGTAGCAGCAGCCTCTGCATCTATGGGCCTCAACATAAACATGAAAAATAGCAAGATTCTCAAATACAACAGAGCGAATACAAACCCGATCGCACGTGATAGATGGGTTCGCGTAAGACTACATTAAGATAAACAGACCGCTTAACGTATGTAGGGATTGGTTTCCCACATGCTGCCTGTACGTCGTGTAATCGACCGTTAGGATTTTCTGGAAGGACACTAACCCCTGCGTTAGTGTCGACGAGGTAACAGACTTTCTTAATCACATCAGTGATGTATGACAGACGACTATATCCACTGGTTATGGCTGCTGTTAGCGCGTCCCATCTGGGAAGTTTCCTGAAACACTCTTCATGTCTGTCGGTTCGAGGCCCGGGGAACCACAGGGTTTTCTACAATTTCGAGAACATTTTCTTCACTGATTATGATGCCAGCACCAATCAGGGTCAACCTTCTCTTGACCTAAAGACAGATCATTTTCGTGAAATACTCCTTCGAGGGGTTTGAGATCGTCCACGGTCGTGACGAACACTAAGGTCACACTCCAGAGTCTGACAGAGTTCTGTAGCGTCATTTTGTTTCGTTTGAGGCTTTTCTATTATTGTTATTATTATTATTATTATTAGCTTTATTCAATATTATATTATTGGTACAATATAGAATTTTCAGCACAAAGTATTTCAACAAGTTTCCGTTTCTTTCTTCTTGGTCGGTCCTCGCGATAAATACTGAGTGGTCGCCAGCTAGATGTTATCAATCCAGTAAATGAACATGGGAATGATGTACATTCTTTTCGTTGTATATTGCCAGCAACCATATTCTCTCTTTTTGAGCTTTTTGTAACTTTGATAACGAAAGGTTGTACATTTTTCAGAAACGCAGCAGAATAGGTTGTGCGATTAATAGACATAATGATATATTAAAACAAACAAAAATAGATAACTTGTTGAAATATCTCGATGGCAGGAACAGATAGCCCAGATGCTCAAGCAGGCAGCTGAATGAACATGAGTGTTCGAAGTTCTGGTGATCTCCGTGTTTCGGTCGGCAGATGCGGCCGGCTTGTCTATAGCGTTGTTTTTAAATGAGACAAGAACTTCCTGCAACTGTTGGGGAAGTTTAGACAAGGAATGTTGTCTAAACAGGCTTTCGCCAAGAGCCTATTGACCAATGACCTCTCTCGTTCATAATGCCACATCTGTTGTTGGGCCACGTTATATATCGATGTTAATGAGGAGCTCGTCCAACACTTGCCGACCGGTTAAATCTAGGTGTCAAAGAAAAGCTCTTTTTAAAGTTTCGCACGATTCCGTGACACCACCAGTAAACATACTAGGTGTGATGTGCCTTTTGAATTCGCGTGGTATTGCCTTCACTACTGCGAGGAATTTTGCCCGTGGATTGGTCACACTGTGTTCGTGAAAGTCAGCTTCTGTGCAGCGGAACCAGGCGTCGATATGGTTATAACAGAATAGCATTAGGTGAAATGAGGGTGGTGTGAGAGTTTTCGTCTTAGATAATTTGGGAGTTTGTTCGGTCATGATGAATATAAAGTAGAGCAAAGAATGAGGAAACAAGATATCCAAAAAATACCAAAAAAATATCACAAAATGTAAAAATAAAAGTAAAAATTGATAAACAAAGCTTCAGAAGGGAACAGACTCACAATTTACATATAGGTGTACCAGATCACGTCGGGTTCACTACTGAAGATGCCATAAGTGTTCGGAGCTTGGCAGAACCTTATTTGTGACATATTTTATAGTCGAAACGTGCCAACGCATTGAAATCAGAAGCGAAGTGGTTCGAAGGTATGTTTGATAGAATATCTATATACCGAGAAGTGACTAATCTAAGCTGACCAGCTGTTGCAGCAGAAGCGAATCACACAGTACCCACTCGTGATCAGGTGAGGATGCTTCAACGAGTGCCTTCAGCTAGATGAATCAAGTAAAACTAATGCGATTAGAACCAAATGTTGAAAAGTTACAGAGCTATTGATTTTAGGGACTCATTTACCGCTGCATGCTGGTAGGTTTAATGAAACGAGGTATTAAAATGTGATGTGGCATTATTCTTTCCGGATCTTGCACTCTACGTGACGTTCTATGCTTTATAGTTATGTCTTTAAATTTCAGGACGAAAAAGCTTACGCAAGTATTGTGCATGAGTAGCTACAGATGAAGCAGTTATCGCGGATGTACATAGTCTCGTACATCGTGTAAGCGACTTTGAGAGGCTGACTCTGGTGATACGTTGACGATTATTTCTGCGCAGAATAATAAATTTCGAGAAAATAGCTTACTATAAAACTCATTGGGACTTGTAAGCGCAGTTGAAAAGGGAAAATGATCAGTGATTGATAGCTAACCTGTCAGTGCATGAACAGAAATAGTCCTATGCTTACATGTTGTAGTATTTCTGTTGGTTTATACCTACGGTAATCTTCCACTTCAATTAATGTCCGGGTACTTTATTTATGGGTTCCTGCCAGAAATGTTGTCAAGAATAACACATTGCCTCCTATATAGAAGGGCTAATGAATTAGTAATCTTTTTTCCTTGTAAAGAGTTTATCCCATTCAATCTTCAGATTAGTAGGAAAACAGTTGATCTCAACCCATACGTAGGGCATGAGCGATCCGATGTCAGGTGAAGTTTCATTTCTTATTATATATATCCATAATGTATCAATACCAAAGTGTCGGGTATCAATGAAGTAAAAAAGAGGTAATTCATTAATAGTAACTTTTAAGTCAACAGTATCGAGTTCATTCACAGAATTATGATGGATTGAAACAAATAAGCTGACTAGCGTAAAACGAACAGTTACGACAATATCCATTTACCTGAAAGACTCACTTAGCAATGATCTGACCACGAGCATGTGGGAGCTTACATATATATAACCACCACTCAAAACAACTAATAAGAGTGCAGGTAGATATCTCGCGCAATTTACAACTGATGACGGTGTAGCTGAATAAATTGTGATCCTGGTTTCCGACCTAGATTGTCATAATCTGAGGCTTGTTATTTCTGGTTGTTTTTTATTGCTAATTTTTATAAATGTAAGTGTACTGTGTGCACATAATTGGTCTTCGATCTTCTTTTTCTTGTGTTTTTTTCTAACCGTCATTAATGATTGGGGGATTACTCTACTTTCCTTGTTCCCCTAGTACACTAAGTACCTTCTGGCTAGACGCAAAACTCTATGATGGCATGTAGTTTTCTGGTAATATTTGGTCCTCAGTATCTATGTTATGTTGGTGAGCTCGAGCTCACCACTATTCATATATCCCGAACTCCGAATTTCGGGGAAGCCGCTATAGTAAACTTCGAGGAAATTTAGGGGAAATGGCACTAAAACTCAAAATTTTCCCCAGACCTGGGGAAATTCCCCAATATTTCCCCCCTTTAACCTTGGTGAAGGTCATTTGACTTAGGAAGTTTCCCCAAACTTGGGAGACTGGGATATCGCTAACTACTTGTTGTTTAATCAATGCTCGCATAGTTGCGGGTTAGGACCGCACTTCGAATACATCGTTGTAGGATAGTTAACAGTAAATATTATCGTAAAACAACAAACTTTGACCGCGATCAGACCTAAGTTCACTGACCCATCGATAGTAATATTACTAGGTTTATATCAACCTGTCCTAGCGGCAAGTTAAGCAAATGGTCATGCTTTTAGGATCTCATTACCATACATGTATGTGGAAAAAAAGGGACTGAAGGAACCAAACATGTTAATTGGGTACCCACGAATTTAGTCAACTACTGAATGAGGTCTAAAAGTTCGTTCCAAAAACTCTGCATAGACGTGATATCGTTTTTGTTCGTATGACGGTGGTTGGTATCCATCATGGTTAGCGGTACACAATTGACTTCAGATACCAGCCCCAATCATGTTATTAAGTGAAATATTTAAAATTTTAGGTTTGTTTGGATAATCGAATAATAAACGCTATCGCTAAAGCATCTTCATCAAGCTACATAACCTAGACTTGTATGACAACGAATCTTAGACTGCGTCTTTTAACAGGGAGTCAAGAAATAGACCACAACGGTAACACAGATATAACTGATAACTCCACATAATAAGGAAATTATAGAACAACCAGCTTGTCTGAATGTGAACAAAGTGGAAATATGCTACTGCTGAGGGTTCTCATCTTAGAGCGATCGGTCTTAACAGCCATTGTTTACAGATGCTCATACCAACATTAAGCGGTACTCTGCAATATAATGGTGGAGAGTACATTCTTAATTACGGATTTCAATCAACTGCTTAAATATAAATCGAGTCTTCCACGGTGTGGGCAACCGGGAAGTGATAACCGCCCTCATACCTCTAACAGCACCCAAGACCACTGTATTCATAATCAACCTTCCTCTTCAATTCCTATTATTCCTCCTACATCGACTTTCAACCCTAAACTTCCTCCTTCGGCTTCCTCCTCAAGTGTCACCATAGCCAACGATTCTAGTGCTCAAAACTCTGTCCCAGGTCTACTGAAACCTCGCTCCAAACTACACATTGGAGCTTTCAACGTACGCACTCTATGTCAAATCGGTCAGCAGGCTTCCTTGGCTAAAACCCTAGAGTCTCTTTCCATTGATGTATGCTGTGTCTCTGAAACACGCATACAGGATCCCAGTGTGGTCATTCACTTGACCTCACCTCGGCAGAACGGAGAGCCAACGAGGTACACCCTTCGTGTATCTGGTGACCCGATGGCAAGTTCTCGTGGACTGGCAGGTGTAGGCATAGCACTAAGCATGAGGGCCGAACAAGCACTGCTAGAGTGGATCCCCGTCAACAGCCGTCTATGTGCTGTTCGGCTGAACGGCTACGTAAGAACTCGGAAGGATAGGGACACACGTCGTTGCCTTTTTGTCGTTTCTGTCTACGCTCCCACTGACTGCAGCTCAGATGAAGTGAAAGATGAATTTTACAGAAAGCTTTCTGAACTTCTTCAGAAAGCTAAACGCTCAGACATAGTACTCGTAGCAGGTGATTTTAATGCTCAGATAGGTAGCTTAAACCAAACAGAAAGGCATTTAGGTGGATTTTTTTAGCATTCCGGCACAGCGAACAGATAATGGTGACCGTCTGCTGCAACTGTGCTCAGACAATCGCTTATTTTTAGCAAACACAAATTTTAAGCATAGAGACATCGTCTAACATGGCGACCCCCTACACCAAACCAACGATGGACTCAAATAGACTATATTGCCATCAGTCATCGTTGGAGAGGGTCGGTACAAGATTGTCGCTCATTCTGGAGTACCTGCTTGGACTCCGACCATGCCCTAATACGAGCACGCATCTGCTTGCGCCTCACTGGACGCAAAAAAGCCACATTAAAAAGACCAATTAGAACTGAGTTGAGTAACGAGAAAACCAAAAGTAGGTTCCAGGAACAACTGAGGTCACACTTAGGTAGTTCTGAAAACGAGGCTGACCCAGGTGTTGCTTGGAAAGATATACAAACAGCTGTGGAAACAGCAATGAAATCTATTAGTGACTTAAACCACAGAGTTACAAAGAACCAGTGGATTTCTTCAAAGTATATCACACTGATGGATTCTCGCAAACTCGTCCCATCAGGTTCCGAACATGATGAAGAGCGACAACAAATCAGATCTAGGTTAAGAAAAAGTCTAAGAAACGACCGTGAGCAGTGGTGGGCAATGAAAGCAAAAGAGATGGAAAAGGCGGCGACTATAGGGAACACAAGACAGCTTTACAGACTAATAAAAGAAACTGGAATTAATAAGTCAAGTGTAAGTGAGATTATTTCGGAAAAAGACGATACTCCCATCTGCTCCCAGTCCAGACGTTTAGAACGATGGGCGGAACATTTTAGAGAACAGTTCAGCTGGCCTTCAGCTACTCTACAACTACCCTCCATTCCCAGACAATGTGAATGGAACATTGAAGTAGGTCCCCCAACTCTTGCTGAAGTTCAAAAGGCTATAGTTAATCTGAAACGAGGAAGGGCAGCTGGTCCAGATGGATTGGCTCCAGAGGTCTTTAAGGATGGTGGTCCAATTTTAGCGATTAGGTTGACTAATATTTTAGCTAAGATCTGGGAATTAGACTTTATCCCATCTGACTGGTCGCAATCACTCATCGTCCCAATATATAAGAAAGGGTCAAAATCATCCTGTGACAACCACAGAGGGATTAGTTTAACAAACATAGTATCTAAAATACTGGCCTCGATAATTATCAGACGCCTAACTAAGACTCGTGAACTACAAACTCGAGAGAACCAAGCTGGCCTTAGACCTGGTCGTGGCTGCATCGACCACATATTCACCATTCGTCAGGTTCTAGAACACAGGCATACCTATCGGCGTCCGACGATGGTGGTCTTTCTTGACTTAAAAGCAGCGTTTGACTCTGTAGACCGCGAGACTCTGTGGCAGTGTCTGTCATTGAAAGGCGTACCTCAGAAGTACATAAACCTTGTGAAGGCTCTTTACTCGAACACTACTAGTCGAGTCAGAGCTTATGGCGAACTGTCATCTACTTTTGCAACTTCAAGTGGTGTCCGTCAAGGCTGTCCACTTTCTCCATTTTTGTTTAACTTCATCATAGACCTATTGATGGAAATAACTTTCTCGTCGACTGAATTCTCGGGTATTGATCTCCTTCCAGGAGGTCCACTTATCGACTTAGAATACGCAGATGATATAGTCCTGTTTGGTGAAGACGCTGACAAAATGCAGAGTCTTCTGGTAGCACTAAGCAACAATGCCAGAATGTTTGGGATGCGCTTCTCTCCCTCGAAATGCAAGTTGTTGCTTCAGGACTAGTCTGCGTCAACACCTGAACTAAGGATAGGGAGTGAAGTAGTCGAACGCGTCGACAACTTCACTTATCTTGGAAGTCTGATCAGCCCTAATGGGTTGGTGTCTGACGAAATCTCAGCACGGATTCGAAAAGCTCGTTTGGCTTTTGCCAACTTACGTCACCTTTGGCGGAGGCGAGATATCCGTCTATCAATAAAAGGACGAGTATACTGCGCGGCAGTCCGTTCTGTCTTACTTTACGGCAGCGAAACATGGCCATTAAGAGTAGAAGACACCCGTAAGCTACAAGTATTTGACCACAGATGCCTTAGAAATATTGCTGGCATCTGCTGGGATCACCGGGTAAGTAATAGTGAGGTTAGACGCAGGGTATTAGGGAATGATGGTAAATCAGTTGATGAGGTTATGAATCTTCATCGACTGAGATGGTTGGGCTACCTGTAACGTATGCCTGAACACCGATTACCACGATGCGCAATGCTGACTAGTGTTGGGGATGGCTGAAAGTTAGGGGCGGCCAAACCAAAACGTGGCATCAGTCCTTGAAGTCACTAACTTCTAGTCTGAGCCATGTTGGTAGATGCAGACTACTCGGTTGGGGTCCGCGTGACTATCGTAACCAATGGTTGGAGACTCTTGGTGACATGGCTCAGAATCGATCACAATGGCGTCGGTGTATACACTCCCTGTCTTCCCTTAAACTAAGAGATTAAATCACTTCATATCTTTCTTTCTACGAACTAATTCTTCCTTCCTATACTATATCCTTATTGCAACCTTTGACCTAACCACTCCTATGAATCCGGTGTTCATCTTGTTGTGCTAATGAGGTATGGCAACCTGGACCGATGCACATATGTGCCTGGTCCTACGTTGTAGCTGACTGACTGACTGATATAAATCGAGTAGCCTTTCCGTTATAAAATTAAAGCAGATATGTTTCATATAACAAGTGCATTTGACATACAGCCTCATTACTTGTGGCTCAATTTGTCAGACTGATGTAAGTGAAGTAAGGTAATAACCCACTTGGTGGTTGAAATTTGGACGCGTTTCTTACTAAACTACCTCTTAATCAAGGTCCTTTTATGAATAAAAAACCTACATCACATCATCGATTCTACTGACACATGCTTTGATTTTTTTAGGGTTTAAAAAGATCAAGGGATGTCAAGTTAGTTACCAAATATATCGCAACATGTTCCCGATAGATTCTTGCCAAAAAAGATATCGTCGAATACTTCAACGCAAAAAAGAAAGGCGAAAACAGGAAAAAGTTCGCAGGAAGATAGCTTCGCGCAATAAAATAAGGGAAGATATAGAACTAAACCGTTATCACAGCAAAAAGTTCCTGAAAAAGGAGGTCTCCAACAGACTGCAGATCGCACTGTATGAAGGAATAAGGATCTACATAGATTGTTCTTATGAAGCTCTTATGTCTCCTAAAGTTCGTGTTGACGCGGAAAACTATCACTTTGTAGGAATGTAATAAATTCGCTCAACAACTATGTCGTCTTTATGGCGCAAACAAAAAAGCAACGAAGCCCTTAAGCATCAACCTTGTAAATTTTTCACAACATGGACCTTTGTCCCATGCTTGCCAGTCCAAATGTGATGGATTCCTAAAGTATAAGGTCAGTGTCTCGTAAATGTAACAGTTTTCGTATTCTCCACCTCTTAATCTTTGTGTTGGGAAAAGCTTATTCTTGAAAATGCGTCGATTGGATCTAGTGTCATTTAGATTTTTTAAAAATTCTTATGTTGAAAATCGACACAACTCCCGTTAGATTTGTGTTGACTAGATGATCAGTAGCTAAGATTTCATACACAGCCTTTTGATGTGTTGCTTGTGTCTCTATTTTCTAACGTTAGTTACGTTCCTCAGGGTCCAATATCGTTCAGCGACGATATTATATTGTTATACGTTATAAAAGGTTTTGCTGAAAATGCTAAACGATAGCTGATTCCCTCGAGGGCCACTACTTATAAACTACTGGATAAAATTGGGCCTGTTTATTGATAAAGGGAAAGTAAGATTTTGGGACACAAAACCAGCTATCTTACGAACATCAGGGAATTTAAGCATTACTAACATCTTACAGTTGGGGAATAATGTCCGGGAACTGACATGAAATTTTGTCGAATTTTCAACACCAAAGTACGCAAGAAGGTCAATTACATAATAATGGCACATTCATGTAGGTAGGGACCTACGAGTGAATCGTGAATATGTCTAGACCTAGTCTCTCCACACACCATGGATTTTACATTTCGCTGAATTTAACTGTTGTGCGATGAATCCTGAGAGGGTTAGTGGTACTACTGCCTTATTGCTCAGATAGGGGGTGTATCAACCCGACTAGTTGAGGTAGTGAACCACAGCTTCGTAATACGCTATTAAGCATGCTATAAATGGTCTAGAATTTCATAATTGATGTTTTGAAGTAGGTTTATGTCTTTACCCATCAACCCTATGCTCCATCGTTGTTTCAAAAACCACTGAAACAACAGCATTTGCATAAAATATAATATAGAACATAATCCTATTTGTAGTGCGCGATCAGCTGTTGTTTACCAATTATGTAACTCCACTATCTCACTAACCTGGTAAATGGTCGTATGTACGTGTGCACTTATATCTTCGTGACAGAAACGATTCATATCCGGATGTACAGTTTTTGTATTATTTCGCTTTATTACAAAGTGCTATTTAACTATCTCATAGATTGGATTGTACTCTGAAACACCATCAAGCATCACGCCAGAAAATATAGAAATCGTGTACCTCAGTCCGGACGCAAAGGAACCATTGATATCTATATCGGAAAATTGTGCGTACGTCCTAGGATGTCTTGTGGATGAGCATATATTAAAGGTAATGCTGTATAGTAGAAAACTTATAGATTTGCTAACAGTAGTTATAATTTTTTGTAGTAAGTAGATCCAAATCGAATCGTCAGATATACTACCATCAACTGTTCGCTCAGTTAGCCCAATGTACAGAAGTAAATAGACGAGTTAGAAGGAAAAACTAGACATAAAATAAGAAAATGTTTAAGATTTGGATAACAGTGTTTAGTTTTGTTGTTTGAAACATCTACTGTTGCTATTTATCGAGTCACTGACTTTTCATATGCACTCCTAGTTTGATACTTAATTTTACCTACAATGCAATGACTGTGTGATTATTATGTTTATTCACCCATTCTCCTTACACCCCTATAAAGGTTAGAAAGAATATACAGTTCTGATTAGCACTTGTGGTCATTTTATTAGGGAAAATATTCATAAACCTTCGTAAGGCGTTGGTTTCTTCTGTTCCAAAATTTAACGGTAGGCTAAAACCATAATTGACTCGCTAAAAAATAAGTGACTACCAAAAAGAAGTCAATATGCCCTACAAACTCTGACAGATTCAGAGGACTTCAAATTCCTAAACCTCAATTGCTTTCTTTCAAAATATTGAAAAGCAAAATTGTAGCAGGTTTTGCTTTTTTAGACAACGGTAGTGACGAAAGTAGATGAGAGGTCAAGTAACGACTGTTAGCACTCGTGTTAAATATCAGAAAACATGGCTACTCCGCGATGTAGATTAGCAGTGTATATGTACATATATAAAATATTTGACACTAATAGCTTTTTTCATTCTGACAGTTTAATATTGATATACTTGTCCTATTAGTATTTTTGTTAACCACCGACATCTAGCTCGTCTTTCTTATAAATGTTAGACCGTCATTACTTCTTATTGTAATTTTCCTGATCCCGAACGACTGTTAGTCTTAGTTTCTGATTTGTACCTACCTCAACTTATTATCCTACGGTCAATCACAATAACTACCATGCTCCGAAAGACTTCGCTAGGGACTCAATGTATTCATTTTCTATTAATAAAGTGATAGACAGTTGAGGTTTGGTTTTCAAATGTCGCAAGTATAAACTGCACCTATTGTTTCTACTGAAATGGATACTGATCGTTCATATTTCGACGCTGTTATTTAAACAGATAAATACTGCACGCAAGAAAAGTTGTTTAGAACAAATATGAAAGTAAATATGAATTGTAATCAAATTCATTTCAGTATTTTCCAGGTTGCGTCTATTGTTATACTACTAATAATAATTGTAATCAGGTCTCATTCTTATTTTGCAACTCACTATACGTCAACTTTTATTCTTTCTAGGGACGAAGCCGACAAGAAGCTGAGAATCAGGGTTACCGTGCCGTGCGACTCCCAATTGAAGAGTTTACATCTGGAAAAATATCTAACCCTGTGTTAGCGATAAATCATGTCGTCGATATAATGTTAGCATACATGGAAAATGGTGGCGACTGGAAGGAGGCCTTATATTCTAAATTGCCCGGACGATTTTTGAGATAATACATATATATGTGAAATTTTGTTATAACTTATGAAGAAATACAAGAAGTTCTATAATAAAAAAACCATGTGACTTCGGAAACTGAATTACACGGAAGTTAGCGACTTGATTTGGCACGAAACGGTCTTCAAGTTATTTATAATTGTTAGGAAATCACCGCATGTAAGACCTAAGAGACAAGATTAGATTAAATATTGTAACTTACGGTAATTTAGTACTGATAAAAATTCGTAAAGTAAGCAACGATACTAAGATGCATCCGATTCCTAGTGCCATCAGTAATATACGGTTTAACTTCGTGACCTTGGCCTCATTGACTTTATCCATTACGATAAATCCGAAGCTCCCCATAACAAACATAAAACTGGCTGCAAGTCCTTCGAGTATGTATTGACTGTTTAGGCGCCAAACCATGATAGCTACCTAAGTCTCATTGAAAAATGTTGAGTATGACTTACCGGTTTTTGATTGCCCCTGGAGTCCGTTTCCGTCCCCATGCTTGGCGGTCCAACGATCATATCGTAAATGACCCCTATATGGCGAAATAACCATGTACATAAGCACAACAATGTACGATCAACCAGTTCTTAACCGACTTTTAACTTTAATGCTTGCATTTCACAGTATGAAATTAAGGCATAAAAATATCGTGGTATAAAAAATGGGCAGAAACTAACTATATATTTGTTAGATCACTTTGCTAGTTATTTCCGGGGGTGGCCCACACTGCGGGGAAAAGTCATTTGTCGGGCATTAGAACTTATACTTGAGAGTTGTTTACACTTACTAATAAGCCAACATTTGTACCTTCTTCGTCACATAATACGAAAGGTATACATTAAGAAGCGGCGCATCTCGGGAAGGGATATCCGTACGACTAACAAGTGCTTAGTCGCATTTTGGTAGTCGAATCTCTGGTTGAAATGAAGTTTCAATCCGTTGGTGTTAAAACCTGTGAATATAGATAGCTTCTAGGGGAACGGGATGCACAGAAGTCGTCTGGCACTAACCCACATCTACACACTAACTTTCGCCTTAGTTTTGGTTGGGAAAAGACCATGTGAAAGTCACTTGCCTGATTGGAATTTGCGACAGATGACCCTCTGTAAAATCATGCATTTTAAACCAAGGGTACGGAAAGAGAGTAGCAGTCGCAATAATAACTTGACAGCATACTCCATGACCCGGATCGCTACATTTTCGTGGTGCAGATAATGCTACTTGGCTTCGTAAAAAGAAATGCAGCTCACACATAGAATATGGTTGAAGATCAACCGCCGTCTTACAGAGTGCACAGGAACCTTGAATGACCGTTAGGGTATTTTACGTGAGCTGTAGCTATCAAAGGCGATATCTTCAAGTGTAAAAACAGACCTCAATAATTTAGTGATTATTGATAATCCAATGCGCCCGAAGTACCCTGTAAAGGACGTCTCGAGTTATGAACCACATCCATGGTAAGTACTAGTAGTACATTTGAATTAGGTTAAATACTACAGTGAATTGAATATGCAATACTTCATTTTAGCAGTTGGAATGTTTCATAAAAAATCAAATGATTTCATATTATACAAGTGCATTATACAATTTTTATCCATATCTTATATCGGGGGGACAGTACTACTTCATCATTAGTGGAAGACGACTTTGGTAAGGCTCAAGTGTTCTCAAACTACTTTAGCAACGTATATACCATAGAAGCGCCCTTCCCGTCAGCGTATACAGATCCCCCCATACATACACTGGATAGCGTGACCATTAAAGAACTCGATGTCTTTGGTCTGCTAAATAAGCTTGACATAGGTAAATCCACGGGGCCCGATGAATTACATCCTAGGCTACTGAAGGAATTATCTAACTTCGTTGCAAGCCCTTTAAGTACATGCTTTAACCTATCCGTTACGCAGGGTCGTTTACCAAAAGACTGGAAAAACGCCATAGTAAGTCCTGTCTTCAAAACAGGTACGAAACACAAACCTGAGAACTACCACCCCGTTAGCCTAACTAGTGTGGTTGTTAAAATCTTAGAAAAGATTATTCAGAAGGAGCTGTTTAAGTATCTCGATAAAAACCGGATCCTCTCGGAGAAGCAGCACGGATTTAGAATAGATTATTCCTGTCTCACTAACTTATTAGTGGCTTGTGAAAGCTGGTGCGTTCTTAATGACCAAAAGCTACCTGTAGACGTCGCCTTCATTGATTTCAGTAAAGCTTTTGACAAAGTTCCGCACAACCGGCTGTTACATAAGTTAAGAAAAGTCGGGATTGGAGGCAATTTATTGATGTGGATAAAAGACTTCTTAGTTGGGCGTCAACAAAGAGTAAGGGTGAACTCAAAGTTATCTAGCTGGGAAACTGTGCTTAGTGGAGTGCCCCAGGGTACAGTCTTGGGGCCAGTGCTATTCCTCTTGTAAGTAAATGACCTTCCTTGTCTCCTATCATCATCGGTCTTGCTATATGCTGACGATGTCAAGATATGGAGAACGATACGATGTAAGAGTGATAGCTTAGAACTTCAAAATGACCTGAAGAAGTTATCTGAATGGTCTCAAACATGGGAGTTGCCGATAAATACTTCCAAGTGTGTTGTGATGCATATCGGTCATCAAGGCACAGATACATACACGATGAATAACACTGAGCTACCTGTCGTCCAGACATAATGACTTAGGAGTTATCGTTATTCAAGACTTAAAGCTACTGCACACTGCCGTGCAATAGCCGCCAAAGGTTTTAGAACCTTATGGTCAATACGTAGAGCTTTAAGTCATGTCGACGCCAAAACAATTTTGACTTTGTATACAGTGTTCGTTCGTCCTAAACTTGAGTACTGCATACAAGCGGCTAGCCCCTGCTTAAAAAAGACAGTGAGCTTCTGGAAAAGATTCAGAGAACGGCGACTAACCTGATCCCCGGAATAGCGAAGCTTTCGTATGAATCTCGACTGGCCAAGCTGAACCATTTCCCGCTGTCATATCGCAGAACTAGAGGCGACTTGATTACAGTTTTCAAATTGCTTAGTGCCAAATTTGCACCTGATATGCCCTCATTTTTCTTGTCTTCCAAAACAGAGGATTTACGAGGACACTCCAAAAAAGTTCATAAGCCGAGAACAATTTACTTGTCAGCTGACTATCGTCAGTCAGGAGGTACCTGAAAAGGAAATTGGATTAGAGATGGTCTCAGTGACCTGAGAGCGTGACCGCAGTGCCCCAGGGACAACTGCTTGAGGCCAGTCGCGCACGGCCTTTTCGTGGAAGGTTTTCGACGTGTTAGCTCCGTTCTTCAAAGGGCCTTACCGCCGGAGACGGAAATCCGTGAGGTAAGGTGAGGTGCGCATTTTTAGGGTCGACCTTTTCTAACCCCACCCCTCCTTGTGGGAAGGCAGCATCGCTGTCATGCTGGTTGCCTGAAGGAAACACCTTACTGCTGTCACACCTCTGTACAGTCAGCAGTACGACTTCGCCTTCGGACCTTGGGTTTGTTGCTTTTAGTCTTACCGCTCTTCAACCGACCTGTCTGACATGGTAGGACCTTGAGGAACGGTTGTTCCAGCCAGTATAGCTCGGTTGCTTCATCACGATAGGCAAGCCCGACCACCACGTCAAGGTAGCAACAACGGTCGGGGCTGACTATCGACTTCCCCACCGAATCATCAACGAATGGAATTCGCTACCTCAGCACGTGGTTGAGGCTCCATCCGTCGACTCTTTGAAAACAAAGTTGGATCAACTGAGAGACCACCATTGCCAGGACTAACATAGGCCATCGAGCCTCCTGTCCTTCCCAAACTGAAACTGTCTTGAAGAATACCGGTAAAAATCGGGGTGCTAATAAAACTGTCAAATACCTTGTAAATAACAGCTGCCACACAATAAAAACTTCACTAGCACTTAAAGCAATAAATGTGACCCCAATAAAAGTAAAAAACCTTAACAATCATAAATATGAGAACACAAGTGCAAATCAGATCTTACCACCTGTGACTAAAAAGTAACTAAGGATGAGAATGGAAAAGAAAACCATTGGAGACGGCCATGTTATGAAACTAGGCTTCTTTATTTTTAGTCTAGGGCACTCAACTATTGCAAATAGTGGTGCAAGGACACAATCCATCTTCGTTTGTAACGCAAGGTTTTGAAAATGCTGACGTCGACAAAAGCAAGTTGGTTTAAGGAAAATGAAACATATACGTTTCTAGTCCTGGCAAACCATAGTCTACAATATGACAACGGAGGTCTAATACGTTCTAAAATCACTAAAATTTTGAGACATAGTGTCTGTTCTGAAAAAGATTTTTTAAGCACAATCCATTACATGTTGTCATTCAAATGGTCGTGGACGGAATAGAAGAAGCTTTTGCTCAACGGGCTTCTGTGTCTAGTAGCAGTGGATCACCAATACCTCCAGGCAGGAATCTAGGTATATTAACGATAATAGAGGAAAAAAAGGAATTGGTAAATCATAATGAGATGTTATGCTTAGGTCACGTTGCCTCTTAAAAGACTCATGGGAAGTCGCTTGGATTACCTCAGCCCGCAGCACCTTACAACTCTTAAGAAGTAGGAGTTGTGTCTAAAGTCCGTTCTGCTGTGTTGTGTCTCTAGTTTCTGGATGTTACCTCTTAGGTTTGTGTTGGAGCTAAACTTAATTAGGTGTTTAAGGGGATGTTTAGAAGTGTTAAGGATACTGTAAGCTAATAGAAGTTCACCTCTAAGATTCCTATGCTTTAATGGGTTAAGGTCAAGTAATTGGAGACGCTCTTCATAGGGTTTGAATCTGTGTCTCCGAACTGATTTCGTGGCTCGCCGTTGGACACGCTCCAGAGTGTCCTTATCCTTTTGTAGTGAGGGAGGAAACACTATGTCTCCGTGCTCTAAATGTAGACGAATGGAACTGTTAAAGATTATGCGGTACGTTCTTCCGCCAAACTGGCCGAAAATGCGCCCCAATGTAACCACTGCAAGGTTCGCTCGAAAAGCATTTTTGTCACAGTTAGCGTAAGACTTTGAATCGTAGGATGCCAGGACTACTAAATCTTTTTCGACTCGGGGCACTACCA